TTTTACCTACAAACACACATTCTGATGATGTTTTTATTAATACAAACGCAATGGAATTTACTATTCTGCTGGGGCTAGGTTGCTATATTTTGGCCCTGCTAACTTTTATTTAACTTATATAGATTACAGTATTGATTAAACATATATTTACTTCAAAGTTTCTAGTGGTTCAGAGCAGAGCCTCCCTCAACTTTATTGTAACATTTAAATATTAAGTCTGAAGAGCAGAGAAAAACTACAGTACAGGTACAGTACACCATCTAAAATTAGGAAATGGTGAGGTCTCTCACAGGTTACAGTTTTAGCCGCCATTACTGCACGGACCACGGAGAAACAAAACAGTTTTATTCATGTACTAAATCCTTCATCACAACAACGAAAGAGGGAAAGTCAAGCTGTAAAATATCAACAAACTAAACAACAGACAAGAATCATTTATAAAGCATGTTGACATTAATCTTAATATGTTGAGATCATACCGAGCAAAATCAAATGCAACCAAAGAGTTTTTGTCTAAATTTAAGAACCAAAAAATTACTTGTTAACTGACTTTATTAATAACAGGTTGCCTGATGAAACAAACCTAACGATTTTTCTGCACAAAACACAAGATGAAGGTGAAAACAGAGAATAAATACGTTAAACAGCTTCACTTCGTTCATTTTTACAGCTCATAATTAGTAAACTACAGACCTAAAAAGGTGAAAAGTAAAAACTCTTGATCAAACTAAGCAAAATCTCTCCAAATCACCCAGAAACTACTAGGCAGTAACTATAGGTTTCATCAAAGTAGAACTCTTTCCAGCATTATTTACACCTTATTAAAAACAGATTTAAAAAAAGGTTTTAAATAAACATTCAAAAATAAAAAGTGATACTATTTTTGGGGCCCCTAACTCTCCGGGCCCTGTGCTACTGCCCTCATAAACCCAGAAATTCCATACTATTTGGGATTTTTTTTTTACTTTTTATCATTTGTTATGGATAAAAAAACACAAGTTATCTGATAATCAAGCGACAAAGACACTTTAAAAACTAAAGTAATAAATGTGTTGAAAGCCACTTCAGAACAATAAGACTCTTGAATCTTTGATGTGTTAAAAGTAAAATATTTCACTTTTACCTCCTCTTCTCTTGTCATTTGTACATCTGTTCTTTCATTGATAATAATGGACATACATGTGAAGTCAATCATCAGGTTAATCTTGAAGTTATTTTTTATAAGACTGTCACTGAACCTCAGACAGTGTTTGTGTTAAATCTGTCTGTTTGCTGTTATAGCTCCAGCTCAGCAGTTGGACTGTTCATAATGAGACTGCAACAAAACACACCATTCCCTGCTTCCTGCTTTAGATTTTGACAAAAAGACAGATTGTTGGGTCTCTTCTGATTCAATCTGTAGGAGGAAAACATTTCTTCAACCTCCTGTCTGATAACCGGTGAAGGTTTCGCTGGTTGACCTTAGCCGTTGCACAATAGTCGGTGTTTTTGCTTCTCTTTTGCAAAGATGTTACTACAGCAGATTTATACTTTCAGTAACTTCATTTAACTAACAGGTCTGAGCTACGGTGAATCAGCAACCGGCCATATTTACGCTTGTTGAACTGAACTTTTCAACTCTGTTCAGAGGACACAGACAGGAGAGTTCTGCTCCATCCAAGGATCTGCTCCTGCTACAAAACACAGCTTGGCCACGCGCCAGCCACGACCGACCTCACATACACACTGACCTCATTTGCCTGCAAGCAGCAGTGATTTTCACAGAGGGCTGACATTAAGCTGTTACTCAAACATTCTCATTCTCTGGGCTTTCAGAAAGACGACCTGCAGCCTCGCTCATTTAGACCCAAGCCACAGACTGCATTTGATACTGGGACAACTTTCTTCACATTTCTTCACTAAAAGTTATGGTGGAGCATACTGCAGAATAATTTGATAATTATTTTTGGGATTGGTAATATCAGACTCATTATCACGACAGAGCTTTGTCGTTTTATTTTCCTTAATTATTTTAATTAAACCTAATTAAACAAATTGCGCTCCCTTCTTTCTCAGCATCATTTATCTTTTAAAGAGAATTGCTATAATTCGTGTTTTGGTATCTGAATGCCATTTTTTGTGTTAACTCGATCACTTTTTTGTACTACGTTATCTGAATTTATTTAATCATAACTCTTTTTTTGTTTTGTTTGTATATTCATTTATACATAATTTCTTTTTATACTTAATCCTCCAGCTGCCCTTGTGTAAAATTACCCACAAGGCCTCAGTTGTGTCAATTCCATCCAAGGGCAGCAGAATGAATATGGAAGAATGTGTTGTCTTTCAGGGCGTTCAGCCAGCTCAGGGCTCTGTAACCTGTGGCTCTGGTCCAGCTGCAGTGGCCTTTTTGAAGCTTTGACTAATGTGAGTTTGATTTTTTTTGTTTGTTTTTTAAACAACAAAACAGGCTAGCTTTAGCAGTTTTCCTTCAATCTGTTTACAAATATGTGATGAGTATAACAAATACAAGGACTGAAACCTGAAGATTACAGTATATCATTGAGTTTGTGGCCACTTCAATAATCCAACTTCTGTTCTTACAGGATGATTTTTTTCAAATCCATCAAGTTTTATTTACTATTTAATGCAAGTTGCTGAGAAGATGTATAGTGATTTGATTAGATAACTATAAGGTTTAAAAAACATATCCCTTTGCAGAATTCAGTATTTTAGTTCTTATTAAATATGCTGGAAGGTACATATAGTATTGTTTTGTTTACACGAACATGGTCTTTACTTTTGTCCTATGAATTTTAACAATCACTGAATATTTTTAGTTTTATAATACAGCGGGTAAAATAAGTATTGAACACTTCACCATTTTTCTCAGTAAATATATTACTAGAGGAGCTAATGACACAACCCATTCTCACTCCCAAGTCGTCACATATTGACGCTTTTCCAAGGTTCCCTCTACGTCCGATTTTGACGTGCAGGGTACCCCCGTCACGTCAGTTACTGACGAGATGGGGCGAAATCTGTTGTCATATTTTCAGAAAGTGTAGAAAATGCGCAAAAACTACCGTTTCGAAGCCTGAAATTACCTTTGTTCACTTTAGACATCCTGTCCCTGACCCTAGTACCTAAAATTAACCATTTTTAGAAAATGTAGGAAATTCACGTCAACATGTTCCAAAGCCTGAAATTACCTAATATTCACCATGGACATCCTACCCCTGATCCCAGTACCTAAACTTAACCATTAATCCTGATCCCTCATGTTAACCTCAGACCCCCGACCCAAAGACCCCTGGTGGCGCAACCCGGAAAAGCCGCGGGCGTCAAGGACTGACGCGAGGGGGGTACCCGGCGCGTCAAAATCGGACGTAGAGGGAACCTTGGAAAAGCGTCAATATGTGACGAGTCGGGAGTGAGAATGTGTAGAATGACATGAAATTTTCACCAGATGTCRGTAACAACCCAAGTGATCCATACATACAAAGAAATCAAACCATAAATTCCAGAAATGAAGTTATGGAAAGCCAAGACAGCTGGTGTCTTGGCTTTCCATGCCTTTTTACACCTCCCTTTCTTCATGTGTTCAATACTTTTTCCCTGTGCCATTCCACATTATTACAAATAACTTCATTTCTGGACATTTATGGTTTGATTTCTTTGTATGTATAGATCACTTGGGTTGTTACCAACATCTGGTGAAAATTTCATGTCATTAGCACCTCTAGTAATATATTTACTGAGAAAAATGTTGACGTGTTCAATACTTATTTTTTTGACGTGTTCAATACTTATTTTACCCGCTGTATCATCCGCATGGCCAAAAAAGCCTCCCTTCAACAAACTCATAATGGCACACGGGTCATCGGTTGATAATTAAAGTTGTAGCACATTCTGCAGCTCCAGATTTTTAGTGAACTGATGGGCAGAAATGGCTGTTTTGATTATAGAGGTTGCAGACCTCTGAACTAGCTTGAGGACCATAATTGTGAGAAGCACCAACTGAGCTAAAGTTAGCTTCTAATATGATTACAGTGAAGCCCCGTAAAGTTGTGTTTCAAGGTCTGTGGACTCGGTCTTTTGCAGATTTTTTTTCATGGAACCTAAGTACCCGTAACTGGAAAACGTAAATTCTTTTAAAGAATGATTATGTTCTAATTTTGTATCATAAATATTGACCTAAATTTAAATAAATACGTGATGCACAACCTGTGCCCAGATTTTGCCGAGCTCAGCACCTCTGCCTCTAACAGTTTAGTGTTACAGCACTACGTGGTGTGTAGCTGCTAACAGTTGTACTTTTTGTGTTTGGTTAGGTTTGTACGTCATTATGATGCCGCCACAAACACACTGTAACCCTTTTTTGGACCTCATCAAATGTTTGCGTTTTTTCACGATTTACAGATATTCTAAGAACTTAACCCCGACAAACATTGTAGCTTCACTGTATTATTTGTGTTTATGCTGCTCTAGTTGCAAGTCTTTCTTTAAGTTTGTGTTCTATATTTCCAATTTTTTTTCTCAAAAATGAGCAATGCAGAAGCAAAACAACAAGGAATGAAGCCCTCCAGTTTATAGACATACACAAAGCAGTAGATTGCCATCTTTAGAGCGATGTGTCATTATCAAACAGCAGCAGATTAGACTCGTAAAAATGAAACAAGCCTTGTGTCTCATGTAAATATGTGGCCTGAGGCTTTCAAAACTGAGAATACCTAAGAAAATTAAACATTACCTAATATTCTTCTTCTCCCTCCACATTCAGATTTCCAAGTTCAAAGCGGAGCTTCAAAGACGGAGGAATAGATTTGTATTACGCTGTCAGCTGTGCTAACAGACTATAAATTGTAGCTGCAATGACAAAAAGTAGCCTGCAGTTTAATTTTAACTTGGTTACTATGGTGACTACAGAGTTGAAATGTCATGTAAACTTCGTCTGCAAAAGTTTTTTTTTCCTACTCACACAGTGTGCGATGAGTAAGCTCTTGYATCTTGTCACTCACCGTTGAAGCTGGTGTTGCGGACGTACTTCAGCAGAGTCTTTCCATCTGCAGCCTCCATTTGTGGACAAACGCCAGGATGATCGGGGCATAAGTCCCTGTGCATGTTGTGCAGCGCGTGGGCCATGGCGTACACCGCGTCAATCACAAACTGCACCTTCCCCTCCTGCTCGTACCTGGAGTCGATCCCGATGCGCTCCTGGCCTGAGTGGGAGGGTGGGAGACAACTTCTTTAGCTGAAGGCACCGGGAACAATTAAACTTTACATCCTTACTTCCCTCGCTCTAACTCTCATTTCCAGCTTCTTCATTTTTYCCCCCCATCTTTTTAATCCCCCTATCAACCATTTGCTGCCGCTTCCTCGGCTTCGATTCTGGAGGAATTACTTCTAAAGGGGACAAAGAATTAAAGAAAATCAGAGGACACATTTAATTCTCAAGTGGGATATATCAGCTCTCAAGCTGAGCTGTGGGACGGAAGTGTTTGTGACAAAATCAGCAGAGTCAGACTGAATTACTGCAGCGTGCTACAAAGTAATAGGCAGCCAACAATGAACCTCATTTGTCCCATCTGAAAGGAGATGAAGATCGCCATGAACTTTAGTTACAGGCTCTGCCACAGCAGCTTCCTGCTCTTTTATATCCTCCTGCCAGCGCACTGCCCTTTCACTGAGGGCTGCTGTAAAGGTTTTGCCTCAATCTGCTGAAACACAGTTTGAATACATAATTCTTAACCTCTACCTTTGTTTTCACTATAAGCTGAACTTTGCTCATCCAGGTAAAACAAAAAAAGAAGCAGCACTTCAAAAGTTTTATCAATAAAATGGTAGCTGCTCAACTGTTCCGTTTATGATCGTCATTACCATAATTGTAATTATCGTATTTAACAAGAAAATGCAATCAGAAGAAAATTGGATCCTAAAAGATGATTTTATCCTCACTGATAAGCTGTCCGTGGGAGCTCGGCGATCACGTTAATAAGGAAAACACAGGAATGCGGGGGACTTCCGTGAACCGAAGGAGCTCAGAAGCAATCTGCTCTGACATTTCAGTTCATTTTTCAGAACTTAACATACATCCCAACCCACATGTAACCTTTTTGATTTTTTAAAGCTTTGCGCGGGGAGCTCAGAGAACAGCCCTGGAATGCAAAAAGCCCATCCTGTTAGTATTTCAGATGAAGATAAATCAGTTTGGCTGGGGTGGGGTGGGGGGGGTGGGGTTAAAAAGAGACAGCAGATCAGCTTTTGTTCAGCCATTTCTTGTGCAATTGGCGGAGAAGAAAAAAAAGCGTTTTAAAGTCATTTTGCAGAAGGTTTTGCAGGACTCAGCAAAGTGGAGGAGCATCTTTTTGTCTTCGGCACATGATAAAAGGCACCACACGAGCAATTTTAAAGGAAACCAAATCCGTTCGACGAGGAGTCATTTGTGTCACGGCGCCATTGCCGTCATGGCGGATGGAGGGAAGATTAATGCAGCGGCCCACATCTCAGCCGTCGCTCACGTAGATAATTCACGCGGTGAAATGCCTGTCATACCGTTGACAGGCCAGGCTTAGGTAATATGAGGATGCGCCTCAATTGAAAACAACTCTATTATTAATACAACACAAAGGCGGCGCTGAAGTCGAATGGCCTCACGGATAGAATTTATTCAGATTTCTGACTATTCTCCTGAAACTTCAACTTTAAATAAAGCTGTTTTCCTGTCAAGGTGACATGGTTATGGTGGAATATAAAGAATGGAAGAGTTACAGGATGTTAGCCTTGGGAACAGATGGTCTGTTACTATAGTATGACTAAAGGATGTAGTGTGCGTTAATTATTCTAATAGTACTATTTATCTGTCCAGAACCTGCGGGGTGAAAAAAACACCTGGTGTTAGACACAGACATGCGCGGCTGAAGCAAATCCCAATCAGTCCACAGTGCCTGCAGCTTTTAATATGCAATTTATTCATCATCCTTCAAGTGGCATGCAGGACACATTTCCCCTAATTGTTCCATGTTTTAAAACTCGTGTACCTGTGCATTTGCGGCTGGAATCCTCTCGCTTTGAAGCACTGAGCAGCCTGCAGTCAAAGTTTTCCTCCCAAAACTCAGCAAACCACACGTTCCTGCGATTGTTCTCCAGGGTGAGTGCAGTAAAGTATTCATCAAATCCTGAGGAAAGAAGAGAAAATAACAGGGGCGAAAAGAATGGCTCAGTTCCGGACCAATTATCAACCCATTTAGACCTGCAGGAAATTAAGTAAAAGTTGTGCAGCAGCAGCAGCAGCTTGGCTGCGGCAGTAGCATTAATGTGCTGTTTGCTGTTGGGTGTTGGAAACACACCAAATAAACACTACTTCATCAAAATTTGACCAAAGTGGATCCTTTTCCTCTGAAGCACCATGGAACTTTAATCACCTCTTTCATCCAGGAAATTGCATTAATTAAAAAACAGGATGCATTATGAATTACGCACACTGTCTAAGTGGCGCCACAGCCTGTTGCCCKGGGCTGCGAGGTGCTGAAGGTGCTGAAAGGGTTCTCCCAACTTCCTAACAGACCGAAGGCACCATTTTGTGTTGTGCTTTTAAAAAGAAGGTCGGTATTTTACCAACATTTTTGTTGATCTTGCTTTCAAACAACAAATGGGGAAGAAAAAAAACCTTTATTCGTTTTTATTATTATTATTTTTTGGAGGATTTTTACTTCCTAATGTGGGTCAGCAAACTGTTCTGGGACGAAAACCACACAACAAGGCTTGTTATGCTGCATTTCTTTTCTTGCTGAAGTCACACTTTTCTGCGAGCTGCTTTGTCTCCATTTCACTTTTGTAATGTCACTGTACACTCTGTGTTATCCAGTCACATCAGCCGGGTAAAGGTAATAACGGCTAATTGCAGCTGAATGACTCAGCTGATGTTTATTTCAGCCGACCGTCGATGCACAGAGGATAAATACTGTTCTCTTTCCCCTTTACAGTGTGCATTTCTCCTGGCTAGACCTGCCCTAATTAATGCATGCTTCATAAAAACCAGACCTCCATTTATAATGATGAGTGTTTCTATGGACCGTGACACAGATCAGACCTTAAAATAGGCTGGGAATGTTCCATTTCTTTGTTGAATTTTGCATGTCCTGGCTAATGTAAATGCATAATAGCCTCATCTGCCTCCTTTTTTATGAGGATAGAATATTTGGTGGGCTTTTTGCAAAGAAAAAAAATCATTTTGTAATGACATTTGTTTTAGAGAATAATCCAAAGTACTTTAAAATTGTTATGACTATTATGATAAAGCTGCGCACATTTTCATTCAGCACCTTTTGCATAATGTAAGACAAGCACAGATGATTTTTCACTTTTTAAGCATGCAAAGCCTAGTTTTTACCTCTTTCATAGCTGCAAACATCAAGCAGTTTGTTTTCCCTGATTTCAGTGTTTGATTTACAAAGACGCTTCATCCAAAAGTTACTTCATTGTTGTCACATTTGACACAAAGACAGTACTTTCCTTTTGCACTGTCAAAATTAATTTGAGCAATTGTATAAACTGCCTACCTATGAAAAGCCACATGAAGCAGAGAGGGGTGAGGCGAGTAAATAGATTTATTCACTTCATTAAGAGGTGCACTGGTTCTCCTTTTTCAATAACATTTAACTACTTCCTATGGATGTATACTCAAATTAAACCAAACAAGCTCTGGAGTTTTATTTGGTTTGGAGATTTAAAAAAAACATATACATTTTGACTGACTTTCAACACTTTTAAGCAGCACTCTAATTAAATTCATTTCCAAACTGACCATGTAAATAAATGTTTCACTAATCRTCAAATATCCAAATGACAGCCAGCAATAAGGATCCGTCTGCATTTGGTAATTTGTTTTTCATTTTAAAAACAGATGTTGAAAAATGAAAAATGGATGGTTATTCCATTTTCATTTTATACTCCAAAAAACAGAAGAACGATAAGTCTTATTATTTTTCTCAAACTGAAAGTTTAACACTGTTGTCAAAGCAATTCAATGCTAATGTTAATGTGCTAAAAAAAAGCACCAGAAGCTCCAGGAAACAGTGTCACAGTTGAATAATCTATCAGCGGACACTTGTTGAAGAAATGTGAGTCTATCAAAAATAACTAGTCTAGATAATTTATTTTAAATACAACAACTATTTATCTACCTCCCCTTATAGTCTAATGGGATGAAAAAACACGTTTTACTTTCTAGCTAAAGACATAGGTGCAATAAATAAACATTAACTAACTAATTTGACATTTCTTTGACAGGTGTCAACAGTTTACATCACTGGTGATTCAAACCGCTTCCTGGAGCTTTTGGTGTTTTTAGCACATTAAGCCTTTCTCCAAGAGATCCACGAGAAACGTGAAGCCACAGCAGGTTCTGCAGGACAGAGATGAGTTGCCGGTTTGAGAAAAATAAATAGATACACTGTTTTTTTCATTTTGAAATATGACATTAAAATAAAAACATTCGATTTTTTTGTTTTGTTTTTCAACATGCTTTTAAAATGATAAAAAATAAAATAAAATAAAGTAGGTACACAGACCTTTGAGCCTGTGCCACATGTTAGATTGTCATCTGATGAAGTCTTTGACATCACATTTATACTGTAAGTTGTCAGAAAATAAACTGCTTTAAAAATAATAAAAAGTTACCAACATGTTATTTCCATGCTGGGAGAAAACTATTTTTGTGAAATAAAAGAAATACATACAATCATCTAATCTTGTACTTTGAAACTTGATAAAAGTAATAAGCCAATATTTACATTTTAAAGCTAGGTATAGGAGCCAGAACAACAAGCACACCTGCAACAAATACTTTCACAAATATATTTGTGCTCATTACAGCCACGATCCCAATAAATGAGTTGAGCAGATTCATGTTGTTGGAGTCTAGTATATTTTGGGATATTTTATTTCATAGAATCAGGAGTTGAAAAGGAGAGTCTGTGAAAACAGGATGATGCGATGACTGGTTCTGGTTTACAGAGAGCATAAAAACAGAGATACGACAGCAGCTGTGGGAAGCAAAAACCAATAAAGTACATAAGGAGGCTTATGCTTCTCTGGATATAAAAATTAAATTAAAAAGATTCATTACAGTCTAAAAAAAGAACATGACACATTATGAGCATGCGTCAGATGTTTGTAATCAMTGTCACTGCCAGAACGGAGTGACAAAGGTTCTGCGCTGCAGGTTTCATAATCTGTTTATCTGGGGGGAAAAAATAGGTCTAAAGCCAAATATGTTTTAATATTTCTGATCAAATTAGCTGATATCTGATTAGCTGTGCACAAAGGCAGCTGTTTGCCTTATCAAATAAAAAGTGGTTTAATGACTGAACCGTTTAAAATGATAGTTCATATCTTTTAAAATGGGGCTGCGGAAATGTTATGAGCAGGTAATATCTTACCTGTTGTAGAAAGCCATGTGAAAAATGGTTTAGATTTGACCATACGATGAGCTAACAGTCAGTCCAAGTCAGACTACGAGTGGATTGCTGACAATTAGGGATGCCAATACCAGCATTTTTACAAGTACTTATAYTCATATAAAATGCTCAGGTACTCAAACCGATACTGATATTGGTACCTGTATTGATACTTCATTCATTGTGTTACAGTTTTACATTTCAAGTGAAAAGTTTGAAGAAGATTATACAAGCTGATTTTTTCTTTTTTCTTTTTATTATTTTTGCCACAGTAAATTYGATTTGATATAATTAGAGAGGCTGCAACTTTATAAGAAAAAAAGAGACACCTTGTTCTAAATAAAAAGTGTGCCCMAGGGTAGCTGTGGCTACATTGTAGCTTACCACMATCAGTGTGTGAATGTGAGTGTGAATGGGTGAATGTCTGTAAGTGTAAAGTGCTTTGGGGTCCGGAGGGACTTGATAAAGCACTCCATAAGTTCGGTCCATTCACCATTTATCATTTTAAAGTCACAATGTAATGTTTGAGTCCTAACTCAGTGAGTACTCGGTATTGACGCGTATCCAAACTCGTACTCAGTTTGAGAAAAACTGGTATCAGGATGCCCCTTCTGACAACAAACTTTATCCCATCCTTAGCTGCACACTGAATTGTTATATACAAAGAAATCTGTGGTTGTTTTCAACACAAACAATACATGTGAAAGCTAGTTTATGGATTGGTACTCTGCCGTTATTATAAATCTTTAATTCAGATTCTAAAACAAAGCCACAGATAAAAAATGAATGACARAAACAGAGGGTGTAGTGAAGCCTGCGGTGTGTGGATACCTTTAATGGAGGAGCGTTTGGGCAGGATTGTGATCGCTCCCACCGCCACGTCCTCCAGTTGGTGGATCGGACTGCTCTTGGACCCCCAGCTGTCGGATCCAATCCACAGGAAATGGCCCACCTGATTGGCCCTCTTGGTAGCATTGAGAACCCCTCTGTAAAGGCATTTGGATGTTTATTAGGAGGGAGAATACAGGAGGAATGTGCAGCCCTGCATCTATTACAACGAGCCGGAGCCAGCCTCAAGAAGCTATTTGGACATAAAAGCCCTCGCCTAAAGCGCTTCTCATTAAAACCAAGGCAAAGTGAAGGATATTACTATTCAGATTCTGTTGTTTCTGTGTGGAGCAGAGACGTTAATATTTGAATAACACAAACAGTCTCTTTTGCTTCTTGTGCATAATGCTGGATTCTTGTTTGAGTTTCCATTTGCTAAATGCTTGATTTTTTTATGAAAGACAAAAAAAAAAAAAAAAAAAAAAAAAAYCCCCGGTKGGGGGGGGGGGGTGTAAATGAAACAATACTTCTAATGCTTTGCTGCGCTCTGTGTTCCAGATTCTCCTCTGAGCCATGTTTGTGTTGTCACAGGTATGTTTGCTCAGCCTGTTTAAATTTGTGCTTTCAGCTTGTCTTTAAGAGCCGCTGCTCGGAAATAAAAGACGGCACCGAGGCGAGACATTAGCATGCCAGAACAACACGTATGAGAGCGCCGCGCCGTGCCTCACCGTATGTCCTCTTCATTGGCAAAGATGATGACTGCCCGCGAGTGGTGTGTCTCCAGCAGCTGCTGGATGGTTTTGTCGTAATCCTCCGTCTTGGGGTTGTGGGGAATTTTCAAAGACTGGGCGATGCAGATTCCACCTTTTTAATGGGACGAGAAGAACAAATGATAAGGCCTCTGGGACGATCGTGCCTATTCTCCCACTCTTATGCACACACACACAAAAGCCTCAGGTCACAATAGCTGCTGCTCTTTTATGATAATCTCGCCTGTGTGGAAAGAGAAACACATCTTAACACAATAGTAAGACTCTGATGAAGCTGTTCTGCCTGACGCCGAGTCTAAACCATGTCCTCACACTGGATACATTTACATTTTGGCAGTGTTCTGCAAACCGCAGCAGCGAGCCGTACAGCACTCACTGTTCAGAGCGCCTTCCAGCTGAGTGTCATTTCACAGACCGAGAGAGTTCCATGCAAACACATCTGCTATATCAAATCCAATCATCTCCACCGACTGGGACACAAAGCTACAGGTTTAATTGTGTGGATTTGACAGGGAGAAAACAACAGCTTGTTATTGAATTTTCATTTAACGTCATTGTCAAACACATCTGACTCAAACCTGAACCAATCAAAGAGCACAGCAAGAATAAATGATATTAAAACTGATGATAAATCACTTGTAGACAGGTCATCACTATTCATTTTGTACAAGCTGAAGAGTTGTTTTTGCTAAAGCGTGTTATCAGAACTGGCTTTAAGCAGATTACTGGATAGTGTTTTCTTCTGTTGTGACATTCAACAGCTCCTTGTTGAGTAAAAGCACAGAATCATCTAATTCTGGGGAAAAAAAACTGAAAGCCCTTTGCTCCTCTGTGGCGTGGTAATTATATGTGTGGAGGACAAGCTAACCTTTCGAGCACTTTAGATAAAGAGATATTATGATAACCTGTGCGAGAGAACATCCTAACTACTGTAGGCCTACGCTGAAGCAGCGACTTACGTCCCGAGTCAACACCGTAGCTTTACCCAAACCAATTAAATTTCTCCCACTCAAGCATTTTAATCGTCTACCCAATAACCTCTCAGTTTGACTTTCCCTGAATAGACGGAGAAATGGAAGGGATCTCCTAATTGCCACTCTCCTCAGGCTCATTACTTTGATATAAACAGCTTTTAGCTGGCAGATCACACATCTCTAGTCACGATACTCTGTGGCATTTCTTCAGGCACAAGAAAGCCCAAAAATGATAACTGTTGAGCCTCTTCTTAGATATACATTTATCTTGTATCGGCAAGCAGAGCTGGGGATTTTTCTTGATGTGAGAAAAGACGCAGCAAGAGTCAAAAGACTTCTCAGACGGTTGCTGGGATCCTGCCTGAGTGGACTAAACAGATAAAATGGAGATCCCACCAGTGGTTTCTGTGGGTTTGTGGTAACTTGTTTGGGAAATGTTCCTGGTGTTATTTGTGCAGGCAGAGCGAGGCGATAGGTCTCCAAGGATGGACTGAAATTCTCTGTTTCAACTGAGATCTCACAGTTGGATGCTGTTTCAGAAACTATGTAACTGTGATGACTTTACTGTAGAGTAAACTATATATGAGATATGTTAACTGTAGAAAACAAGTTGTGCAAAAATAAAATTTGTAAACTCAAATATTTAAAATCTCATATAAAATATAGTAAGGCTACTGTTTTTATTCATATTCTCATAGAAATAATTCGTATTCTCAAATGATCGCTATGAAGTTGTAATTTTTAAAATGTATTTCCATGTTTTATATGAGATTTTAAATATTTATGAGTTTAAAAATTTTTTCTACAACTTCTGATTAACATGCACACAATTCTGCTTTTGTACATCCGGTGTTTTCGATAGTTAACTTACCTCATAAAACTAGTAGGCTTTATAGGAATGCATATCACCTGCTTAAACTGCAAGACAAAGTTTAAAGTATAGCTTACTTGCAGTGGAGGATTTAGACTATTATAGGAGTAGCTGGACTGGGATCACTGGTCACAGAGGGGTTGCCTCGAAAATTACAATTTCTCTACCTACCCCACAATTTTTTGAGTTCCTAATCATGTTCCTTTGTTGTTGCCTCATTTACGTATRTATATGGGCGGTGACTACCATGTAGAATTACATTATAAAAGGCTTTCTGAGCAGTGAAGTCGAAACGAACTCTTTGAGAGTAGAAATGGCTTTGTCAAAATGTTGCTGGTAAAATTGTCGGTCAGGGTGGCCACTAGGGTGCCCCAAATCTTTTCTATGGTGGTCATGACCACAACTAGCTCCAACCCTGATTGTGAATCATCTGTTAGTGCTATGTGTTGGGTATGCATACATGTGTACCCTTTTGGACATTTAATTATATTTTGGCTCTTGACAGCTCGTAATATTCACAAAAAAACGTGTGTGTGTGTGTGTGTGTGGGTGGGTGTGTGTGTGTGTGTGTGTGTGTGTGTGCTCAAATGGCTCTTGTGAGAGTTTCATTAAACTTTGTTCAGTGGTTCATTGTCAACAAAGAGTTGGCCCCAAAAAGGGGTGCAAAAGTTGTAAACAGAGATTATGTGCAATCTGTTGGCACATGGAGTGTCTGCAGGAGCTGACTCTCAGCTACTACCACACCAAACTTTACCTCAATGTCTGTAACACTGAAAGAGTTGTAGTAATTTCTGCATTTACTATTGTTGATTAGCTAAGATGGACATCTTGAATTGGCTTAATGCTAAAGGTTGGTTGTGGATGTTTTCTCAAGGTTTCGGTTAAATCTGTGTGTGGGTTCAWGAGATATTTGCTAACAGACAAACATTTAAGAACACGACTTTCATAGTTAGCAGTGACTTTGACCTTAAAGCGGCTGCTTGTAGCCTCACATGGTTCAAAGAGATAATGGGAAATAAAAACAAATCCTTCAGGACACAAGAGCTCAAGTTTTATAAAAAAAAAATACATTACAACTAAACCCTGCAGAGTTGTGTAAACAGTTGTATTAGTTTAACAGGCTTGAGCAAAGACGGATTGCAGGTCACAACAGTTAATAACACAGAGACCACAAGAGCCACTGATGAAGATAAAACACATTTGGAGCACATCCCATCTTCTGAGGGAAATGTGCTGCAGGCTTAAAAACTGCTCCGATGGCTACAGGCGGCAGTTGTGCTATGCTGGCTAAATTATTAAATACCTGCAGAATACCTCATCATTCGTCAGTCAGACGGTTGGACAGTCAGTCTGGGAGGCAGGCACGGTGAAAATGCAAGAGTGGTATCAGTCAGTCCGGTGTGGTGTGCTGCAACACCTTCCGCTGTCACTGGAATGGGATTGGACTTGAAAGGGTCTTCAGCTCAGAAGATGGATTTCATGGAAAGCTCGGCATGTCTGTCTTGGTTGCAAATGTCTGATGTGAGGCAGGGAAATGTCAAACTCTAGGGGAAGAAAGTGTTTTGGACCAACTTATTGAAGTTGATCCCTCCCACACACAAAAGGAAAAAAAAATAGCCCTGCACACCTCTGGTCCAAACCGCCTACAACTGTGAGAAAATTATGATTTCAAATGGTGAATTTTCAATCTTTAAATGGATATATTTGTTTATGCATACATAAGGATAACATTCTAAAAACTAGATTAATTAAAGGCATAATATTTCTTAAAGCAGATCACCTGCTGCCTCTCATGCCAGAGTTTCAAACTAAGATCATCTTGTGATAATAAACGACAAAGGTGTGGTCAGTGGCACTTGATGCTTGTGTTGGGAATGACTCTCAGCTACAACCACATCAAATTTTATCTCAATATCTGTAAAACCTACTGAGTGATAGACATTTTTGCAGGTTGATTGGCTGTGGCAGCCATCTTGAATTGGGTTGACACAAAATATTTTATCAAAATTCATTGATTCAAAAGGTATTTTGCCAACAGTACAGAAAAACAAACACACACACACACACACACGCAGAGAGAGAGAGAGAGAGAGAGAGAGAGAGAGAGA